ATACTCTTATTTCAGGATTTGCCTGTTCTTTAAAGAATTTATTTTGTTTATCAAAACTTATTGATCCAAAACTGTTGAATGTCAAGCATAAATGCTGAGGTATATATACAGATATTGATAGCCAACGTCTTTTCTTAACACTGCAGGGATTGTACGAGGAGATGGCAAACAAAATTGATGTTGTATGCAAGGCTGGGACAGTCTCAGATCAAGCAAAATTAGAATACAAAGGATTTTCCAAATGGAATTCATATTCATCCAAGAAAAACCATACTGCTATCTTGCAGGTACAAAAAAGAAACAAAAACATTGGTTCAAGTTAGGCTATGTACTCGTTTCGTATGTTTAGAGAGATTCAACAATTTATTTATACACAATTTTTTTTTATAATTTTCCGATGAAGGGGATTCAATTGAATGTTTGAATCCTCTTTTCGTTAAAGGTAGCTCTGCTGCTGACTATCACATGTGGATAGAATAAATGCAACTTTACATATCTGATATCTTATATGTCTGCTTTCTTTCACATACTAGATACTAATCGACAACAGAGATGAAGAGACAAAGGACATTGACGGAGTAAGACTGCCAACGTTGGTCTATGTGGCTCGGGAGAAGCATCCTGAGCACTTCCATAATTTCAAAGACGGGGCGATGAATGCATTGGTAAGTCTAGTATCAGTTGCTCATCACATAAGTGAAATCTTGAATAAACCTGTGGATGATTTTGTTGATTACAATGTTCAGCTCAGGGTGTCCTCAGAGATCAGCAATGCGCCAGTAATTCTGAATGTAGATTGTGATATGTACTCGAACAACTCAAACGCGATTCAAGATGCTCTTTGCTTCTTTATGGATGAAGAAAGAAGTCGTGAAATTGCTTTTGTGCAATTTCCACAATCTTTCGGAAATGCCACTAAAAATGAAGTTTATGGTTCTCTGAGAGTAATTGATGAGGTTAGTACACTGTACATCTCTATTTGGTTTTATGGTGTTGATGAATATTCATTGCTGTAATTTTCGTATCGTTACTTTTATGTCAACCTAAGGTGGAATTCCACGGTGCTGATGGTTACGGAGGCCCTTTGTATACTGGAACTGGCTGCTTTCATAGGAGAGACACCCTTTACGGTAGAGAGTATAGCACGGAAGCTAGGATTGATTTGAAGAGTGCATGTCCTGAGAAGATGGAAGAAAACGTGCACGAGTTAGAAGAAAGACTAGAAAGATTAGCTAGTTCAACGTACGACTTAAACAACACTCAATGGGGAAATGAGGTATGTCCATCTGCATTTCAAATTTTAGATGAGATGGTCACACAGTTTAGTAACTGACTCGTAGTGAACTTTATTAACATGGCAGATTGGTTTGAAGTACGGGTGCCCAGTCGAAGATGTACTGACCGGGTTGACAATTAAGTGTAAAGGTTGGAAATCTGTTTATTATCGTCCAAAAAGGGATGCCTTTGTAGGGGTTACTGCAACAACGTTGGATCAAATATTAGTGCAACATAAGAGATGGTCCGAGGGCGATTTAATGATTCTGTTTTCTAAGTATAGCCCTGTTTGGTATGGACTTGGAAAGCTCAATCCTGGCCTTGTGTTGGGATATCTCATTTACTGCCTCTGGTCTCCGAATTGCTGGGCAACTCTGTACTACTCTATCGTCCCTTCGTTTTGTCTACTCAAAGGAATTCCCCTATTTCCACAGGTATTTTTTGCCTCTTTATCATCACATTTTCTTAACAAACATAAAGCAGAATCACCGGTTGACAAAAGAAATTTGACAAATTTTGCTTTTGGTCTTAACTTTCAGGTCTCCAGCAAACGGTTCTTGCCATTTGCATATGTGCTAATCGCGGAACTAATATATAGTTTTGCTGAGTTCCTGTGGAGCGGAGGAACAATTCTTGGATGGTGGAATGAACAAAGAATATGGCTTTACAAGAGAACAAGCTCCTACATGTTTGCCTTTCTTGATACAATGTTGAAGTTATTTGGTTCTTCCAATACAACATTCATAGTCACTCCAAAAGTCACTAGTGAAGATGTGTTATTGAGATACAAACAAGAGAAAATGGAATTTGGAAGTGCTTCACCTATGCTTACAATTTTGTCAACACTGGCAATGATCAATCTTTTTTGCCTAATGGGGTTGGTGAAAAAATTGATATTGACAAGAGAACTTGGATTGGAATATGTATTTGAAACTATGGCTTTGCAAATTTTGCTTTGTGG